GCGTTTCTCCATACTGCAATGCCATTAGCTCATTTGATGACGCGTCTGATGACGTTTCAAATGACATTGCATGCACGACAACTTCCGGTCGGCCGAAAAGTGCGGAAAAACGCAGAAAAATCACAGGACTTATGAAAAATTGCAAGCCCTCGCAAATATTGCGGACTTTCATTGAAACTGCGTTAATTATTGCGATCACAAGATTTTCTGGAGGGACTGATTAATAGCGTCTCTAAGTTCCTCACGAGTAATAGGCCTATTTGGCAGCTCCTTCTGTGTATCAGAAGCTTGAGGGAGATTAATAGGGGAGAAATAGTGACTCAGAATTGTATAAACAGTCATATAATTCCAGAAATGAGTTATTAATTTCCATGTGTTATAGACTCTTTTACCAGAGCAGTCCTTTATGTTAGGAATGGCCGGTCTTTGCCCTAACTAAGTTTGCCAGATATTTACTTTGCTTATTCCTGTGCTCATACATCCTATTCTTTGCAAACAGAATGGATTTCTGAGCTTCTGTTGATAAAAGGGCATCTAGAGCAGCTGTAGTGGAATTAGTCTGAAATCTCAGATCCTCTGTAGCATTAAGATTGAGCTCTCCCTGAAGTTTACTTAGCTGTTGTTCCACAACCCGCTGCCACGAATAATAGCCTTAGCAGTTTTCCAGATTAGACAAGGAGACACACCTGGAGTGTCATTCTCAGTGATAAAATGATTAAACTGTTCAGTAAGATACAGCCCAAAATTAGGGTTTTTGAGAAGATTATTAGGAAACCACTATTGCCCCTTGGGGTGTTGTACTTTGCTGGACATGAGCAAAAACACTGGTGAGTGATCATTTATAATAATATTACCAATGTAACAGGAGAGTACCCTTTGAAGGGTATATTTAGGTGTGAAAAAGTAATCAATTCTAGATGATAAATCCTGAATCTTTGAATAAAATGTAAATTGTCTTTCAGTGGGATGAAGAGTCCTCCATGTATCAATAAAATGTATATCAGTGCAGCAGCCAAGCACAGACTGCCCATGCCCAAGATAAAGCTGAGCTTTTATTAGATCTATCTAAACAAGGGCTTAGGCAGCAATTAAAGTCACCAGCCACCACAGATGATTGACAATCCAGTCTGAGGACAAGGAAAACACTTAAGTGTAAAAATCAAAAGAACTTATAGTGGGGGCCATATACATTTAAATAAGGACAACATCGCTAAAGAGCATCCCTTTAATCATAACATACATGTCTAGGAAAAAACAATAGTAAAATAGATTATGAACAGAACCCAAATAAAGTACAAACTCACCAGACTCAGTCATGTAGGATAATGATGGCTAAAAAGAAAGAGGAGAAAAAGAAAAAAATGGTATAAGACCTAAGTGTCCTCAGTCACCCAAATATAAGTGCCTATGCGGCTGCTGTATGACAGAAAAATAAGAAAGTTATCTGTGAGCGGCACCTGCTTGATCCACCTGGAGTGTTGGGGATATGGTCTCCTCGTAGAATTTCTCCGCATCCTCCGGTGTGGCGAAGCTATACTTCTCGCTGTTGAATGTCACCTGCAGCCGAGCGGGGAATAACAGCCCGTATTGGATGCGGACAGCCCGTAGCATCTGCTTGATATTGTTGTAAGATGCTCTCTGTTTAGCGATCTCCGATGTTAAATCTGGGTAAATATGCACTAGGTGTCCACAGTAAGTGAGAAGACCCTTTTCCCTGGTCAGCTGGAGGATGCGCAGCTTCACTCTGAAATGGTGCACCTTCATAGTCATGGGTCTGGGTATGGCATTTGTACCTGAGCCTGGCTGGGAGGCAAGATGATGCGCCCAGTCAAACTTCTCATGACCATCAGGAATATCCATACCCAACATCTCGGCAAAGAAATCAGTCATGAATGCCGTGACTTGTGGCCCATCCAACTTCTCTGTAATACCAAACACTCAGAGATTCTGGCGTCTACTCCTGGACTCCAGGTCCTCCGTTTTAGCCATAAGCAACTTGTTGCTCTTTTCCAGCGCCTCACACTTGGCCTCGAATGCAGTAATCCTGTTGTCAAAATCTTGTAGCGAGGTTTCAACCACAGTGAGACGGGAACCAAATGAGTCCACAGTAGACTGCAGGGTCCCCATGGAGCAGCGGATTTCAGCTCAGAAAGTTTCAATGAGTTTAACCATCGACAAGAGGGTTGGATCGTCTTTTTCGTCGTAGGCATGTGATGATGAGGGGTTAGCTTTGTCGCTAATGTGCCAAAACAGAGCTTGTCCATGATGGTCCTGATGAGACTTACCTTTCCCTGTCATACTGTGATGTCCCTTAAGTGGTTTGAAGATAAAATACAACAGAAATGTAGCGCTAAGATGACGTTTTTTACTCAGTTAATGACAGAATATGCGGGAGCTGGTGAAGTTGCGTCTACTCATTAACCATGATGATCCCGCGCGATCCCCCTCAAAGCAGTTTTGATGATACTGTATTTTGATGTTAAGCTATCACCTGGGGCCCGTTGCACAAAAGTAGGATTCAGACATCCAGGATAAATGACTGAGGCATCCAGGCTTAATGGGTTGCACAAAGACCAAGCCAGGATGAGCAGACACGGATTCATCAAGCCAGGTGAAACCAATCCTGGATCAGTGCACGCACGTGGCTTCCTCAAATAGACCCCGCCATCGATCACAGATTCACCGATTCACCATGGCAACAAGAGCGGCGTACTTTTCCCCGTCGGAGGCAGAAATCCTCACGGAGGCTTACGAAGAGATAAAGGATCAAATCAAAAAGAAAGGCAACACCGCTACAGTTACAAAACAACGAGAGAAAGCGTGGCAAAGTTGCAGACCGCCTGAATGCGTAAGTAGTGCACAAATACACACTCACTGCTCTGCTGAAACCCTCACAATTAGCCTACAATCCAAATAGCCTAGTTAAGTAACATCTCCGAAAACGTAGTTGTACTCTGATTATGAATCAGTTGAAATTGTAACTGACATTGACTGCAGATGTGAGTGAAATTGTGTAAATGTAACTCCATCAGACTGTATAACTCTTTGATAAATAGATGAGCTCAATGACTTAATTGAATTTCCCTTTGGGATAAATAAAGTTCCTCTTATCTTAACTTACCTTATCTTAGATCCTCATGCTCCATGCTCCTCTGCTGTTTCATTATATGTATGCAATTTTGTGTGTGTGTGTGTGTGTGTGTGTGTGTGTGTTTGTGTGTGTGCATGCATGTGTATGCTGATTGATCATAAGAATATATACACAGCATTAATGTTCAGGTGAACATGACTTTTTGATATTGTCGATTAATGAACACTGTGCATTGCTTGTGATGTGCATTGATTGGTTTAATAGTCTTCATCGTATAATTTCAGATGGTCTGCAATGCTGACTCTGATCAGCAATGTTGTGGCAAAGTGGCCCAGCTCGGTCCATGACTCCCGAGTCTTCTGGACCTCTGGAATCTATCAGCGTCTATCACAAGGTGAGCCACACAACCTCTGTTAATAACCACTTTTTACATCATGGCTGTGTCAAGAATGTCACTCTATTTATGAGGTTGTGATGATGAGTTTTTCTATTGACAGGTGAATTTTCTGGTGTGTTGCTGGGGGACAGGGGGTATGCCTGCCAGCCTTTTCTCCTCACACCATACATAGACCCTCAGGAAGCACAGCAGGCCTATAATCATGCCCATGCCAGGACAAGGGCCAGGATCGAAATGACCTTTGGCCTCCTGAAGGCACGCTTTCACTGTCTTAACCACATAAGGGTCAGCCCTTTGAGGGTATGTGACATCACTGTGGCCTGTGCTGTCCTCCACAATGTGGCCTGCCTGAGGAAGGAGAGGGCCCCCAGAGTGCCATCACACATGGACTGGGACAATCCTGCCATCTTCCCTGATGACGACAGTGGTCGGCTGGTCAGGGACCAATATGTGTTAAATTATTTTAGTTAACATGCATACTTTATATTTCAGTTAAATATGTCCTGCAGTGGCAGAGGCGCATGCTGTGAATTTCAGTTAAATATGGCCTGCATTGGCAGAGGAATTTGTGTTTTTTTTATTCAATTTAAATTGATTTGGCCTCTTATGTTGTATGTTGTATGTTATGCTGTATACTGTGTGTATACAAGCTTGCAGGGAGGCTACTGCATCCATTCATTTGTCTGCTCATTTGTTGTGTATGGTTTTGTCCTGCATTTTTCTTGTGTTGTATAATATGCTTTGATTCTGTGCTTTCTATCTTGTACAGTCAGTGTGTGACTTAAGTTTTGAAAGGAGCTGATGGTTTACTTGCTTTGATTTATCCTTATTCAATAAAGGAACATCATGTTACTCTTTGATGTGTATTTATATTTATATGGGATGTGTATTTTATATATATTCTATGGGAAACTGTAAATTATCTAATGATTGCAAAATCATCTAAAATCATCATTTATGTAAAATGATTGCAATTAATGATCACAAATGTTTAAATAATGACAGTGGGTCTGGTTGAATGTGATAACAATGTGCAGTGGGCAGTGGAATAACTATTGGTTTCCGTTTGTGGTGACTGCTGACTGAGATAAGGGATGAGATTAAATAGATCCTGGAACTTAGCCTGGTCTGGAGCAGGCTAGCTCCACAGAATAAATCTCCATGGTAACTTATGTCATAACATATCCCGCTATCCACTATCCCGCTTTTGTGCAACAGGATCATGGATAAGTTGAGCCAGAATAACCAAGATATCCCGGCTTAATCCCTTATCCTAGTTTTGTGCAATAGGCCCCTGGACTCAGTTTCCCAGGATGACTGTCCTCTGTACCCCGCAGCGGCCTCAGGTCCCTGCAAGGCTTGACCCAGATCTGTGGTGCTCCAGGACATTACATAGAATCACAACTAGCACTTCCCTCCGGGGTTTGACTCCTGGGTTAAAGATGAATCATTGGGCACAGGTATTTGTGGCTTTCTATACTGTGACTTCATGTCTCTATGCATAATTTACAGTTGGAGCGGCTTCAGAGGTACCAGCGTACCCCCTCCACAACCTCTGAAGACTCCATAAAGTTCCCCAGCTCTGGATCTCTGGATCTAGATTCAAATCAAGCAGTAGAACAGCCAAAAGAGGTAAAATAAAGTCCCCATCAGAAAATTGCTTACAGAAAGAGAACAAATCAGTGTGTTTGTTGCTGCTAGATGAGTCCTACAACGACTGATAGAACTCTCCTTTGTATGGATGTACTACAGGTGGAGCTCTCTTCCTCTGCACCAACCAAAGAACCTTTCCTCCGCATTGGATCCAAGAGGATGAGCAAAAGCTTTAACCCCTTTTCCTCCTCTAAGCCTCAGGGAGCAGAGAAGGAGTCCAAACAGCTCCAGCTGGCCAAACCCAAAGAGAAGAAAGACAAGAAGAAGAAGGGCAAAGGAGAGCAGACACAGACAGGTACCATCAACATCCTATCCTGTTTCTCTTGTTTCTTCACATGGAGTATATCTGTATATTTGGAAAAGTATTTGCTCAACATGACTGTGGAAAATACATGATTTTTAAATGCAATGCCTGATTTTTTATAACTAAATCAGGAATCTGAATTGAGATTGTGAGATTCGCTATAAATGACAGCTTCCCTTAGAAATAGTTGAAAATGCTTTGATCATCTCTTTTATCAACTATGCCCACATCCCCTTAATGTTATATATGGGTTACTTTAAAGAAATACACTCATTTTCCTTCCTGCTGAAAGGTTAGTAGGTTGATGTTCAGGTTGATAGTGTTGTCATGTCTGTGTGTAAATATGACACTATAGCCAGAAGATCATTAGCCCAGCTTGGTATAGAGAATAGAAACAAGAAACTCTGACTAAGGTAACAAAATTCACCAACCAACTCCTCGAAAACACACTGATTAACATGTTATTATGCCTCCGCACTGGTGGTAGCAGTGGCTGGAGGCATTGTATTCTGGTTATATGTATGTCCGTCCGTTTATACGTCCGTCTGTACGTCTGTCCATCCTTCCGTCCATCCCCTCCTTGTGAAAACACACTGATTAACATGTTATTATGCCTCTGTGCTGGTGGTAGCAGTGGCTGGAGGCATTATGTTTGCAGGTTGTGCGTATGTTCATCTGTCTGTATGTCTGTCCGTCCATCCTTCCATCCGTCCCATCGTTGTGAATATGATATCTCACCTACCTCTGGGGAATCTCTCCAGATTTGGCACAAATGTCCACTTGGACTCAACAATGAACTGATTAGTTTTTGGTGGTCATAGGACAAGTCTATGTGACCTCATCTGTCTCATTCTCATGGACACGACATCTCAAGAACACCTTCAGAGAATTTCTTTAAATTTGACACAAACATCCACCTGAACTGAAGAATAAACTAGAATTTTGTGACCTCACAAAATATGTTTTTGGTCCTAAATCAAGAATTCATACTAATTATGACGAAACTTCACACAAATGTCTAATAGGATAAAATAATGAAGTGACTTTTTATATCCAAAAGGTCGAAAGTCAGCTTCATTGTGTCATATTGTTCTGCATAAAACACTTTTCTGGCCATTACTCAACGCCATATCTCAGGAACAGAAGGGGAGACATTTGGTCAGATACTGCATTGGTGACACTAATCTTGGGTGTCCACTTTGAAACTGTGCTCATGGTATAGATCATCTGTGCTGTCGGGAGGAAGATGTGTGTGAAGCTTCCATGTTTTCACAGACATGGATGTAAACTGTAAGAGAAACTTGACTGGTGTGCGGAGGCATATAACCACAGGGCGGTAATTCTATTTATTTTATTTTTTTTTTAAATCTGTTTAATCTTTATACAAAACTGACACATAAAAGTGTTAAAAAAACAACCTACTATTTTACAGAAGTTTTTGTTCGTTGGCCACATTATTACTTGTGTCTTTATGTCTCTTTAGAAAGCAAAGTCGCAGTGATGTTGGATCCTCAGAATGATGGAGATATCTTCTTTTGCTGAGGACCTGGATGATGCACATATGAATTGCAAACTGGCCAGTAAAGCAAACAGGACCCCAGCTGTCCCCTAACTCTCTGTTTGGATATACTGTCTGGCCTCTGGACAGTGGACACTGTCCCTACCCTCCTGTCAAACAGGATGGATCATTATGAACGAGAAGCTGCCAGATTCTTGGGATGACAGTTTGACTTACCTACATGGGTCCCACTTCCTCCTAGAGAAACCAGGTGAAGTCATGTTGATTTGATGATTTAATCAGGAGGACTTGAATTGACAAATGTGCCAAAAATGTTCCCTACAACCATCTGTCAGTTAGAGATGTGACTGAAGGTCAAGGAGGATCAAAGGAGCAGTGTGAGAGGAAACACAAGAGGAAAGCAGGATTTCTTCCTGCTGTCAGTCGACAGATGATGTGTTAGACCCTGTGACATGGTGCTTCAAGTCAGACTTTAAACTGTAGCTTTAACATGAACCAATAATGAGTGCCTTTGCCTTTGAAGTATTTCTGATACTAACTTTGAATGCTTGTGGTGCTGCTGACTCCTCAGTTTCAGTGAGCAGTTACACAGTCTGGGTCCCCGGCTGAACAGCTCCAGAAACTTTGAATCTCAAGTGTGATTTAAGTTTCCCCACGTGTTGTATGCCCAGTTTTATCTGTCAGTCTGTCAATCAAGACATAAAAGGGAAGACAGATGCCACACCATGTGGTGTTTGTAACAGTTAGTAACCCATGAACCATTTGTCACTGTTCCTGCTGAGGTCAATGTGTATAACAAGGCCACAGACATAATCAATCAATGATACGTCAGTCACCAGAGAGATGGATGAATCTAGAGACACAGGTTGAGTGGTCATGAAAAAGTGTGGGGTGACTCAGTTATTTTAGTGCCTTAAGTCTCTAATATAGTATCTGTCTGATGACTGTTGTGATAGTGGAATGAAGAGCATGCTTACAGTAGATGTTTTTTTCATAATACTTTTGTCAGATAATTAACTGCAGTCTCTAAAAAATTCATTGTTCTTGGTAGGTGGTCATTTATTTTAGTGGTGAAACGCACCAGTCAGACTAGAACAGCTCAGTATGAGCTCTACAGAAGAATGAGTGATAATCTGTAGGCCCTAATCACACAGAAAGTAATTTGCAGGTTGCAAAACACGAGGCGCCATTTAAAAAAAAGAAAGAGAGAATGCCACAAGTAAAAAAAATAAATAAATAAAAATAAAAAAAAGGTTTGCTGCATCTATTTATTGTTGCCAGGCAACCTTCCCATGCAATCAGTCTACTGTTTTTTTGTTTGTTTGTTTTTTTTAATTTATTTTCTCATTTTATTCTATCTTTATTTATTTGACAGTAATTAGTATCTAGTTCCTAAAATGGACAAGTAGAGGGTACTTGCTGTAGCTCTGGTTGAGGGTGAGAGGCTTTCAGCAATTAATTTGTTGGGCACAGGGAAACGGAGATTTGTGTGGGTACATGACACCCTAAAAATGAGGGTGGATCATGGGGAGTACCACCAGTTGGTCCAGGAGCTTCGCCTCCATGATGGCTGTTACCAGGCATGTTTTAGGATGACTCTGGGGGCAGTTTTACAGCCTGCTGTCTATCGTCGGGCCTCACGTAACAAAAATGAATACTAACTACAGGGAGTCCATTAGTCCTGTTGAGGGACTGAGCACCACCAGTTTTTCTTTCATTGTTTTGTCGTGGGGGCGTCGCTTAGTGGATAGTGCCAGCGCCCCACGTACAGAGGCGCTTCCTCGCCGCAGCAGCCACCGGGTCGACTCTGGCCTGCGGCCCTTTGCTGCTTGTCATTCCCCCACTCTCTCTCCCCTATTTCACACTGTCCTGTCCATTAAAGGCAAAAAGCCCAAAAAAATAATCTTAATCTTAATCTGAAAAACGTGTTGTCGTGACCAACACAGAAGGCCCACATCTCAAATAATCTGATTGGACAATGGGAAAAAAAGCAGAAATGAGCTCTTCTGCTCTGAGTTGAAGTTTTTTCAATTCCAGGAGACACCAGGTCCTAAAGCACAGAAACGTGAAGCACGTAGCAACGCAAAAACAAAGCAAAAAGCTTCATTCAGCAGCCTCTTACAGCCTTGACTGGGGCCTTAATCGTCTTTCAGTGTGACAATCATGGCAATTCAATTCAATTTCCATTTACTATTGCAACTATATCCTTGAATTGACTGCACAGAGCCCCCAAAGTCATAAAATATTATATTTTTCATATCGTTCTCAGAATGGGTATCTATCAGGACTTTGGGGGCTCTGTATGCTTCTGTATTTGACATATTGACATATTGTCACATTTCTGCATGTCCATTTAAAGCTGGGGGTAGGCTTGTTTAATTTTGGCGTCATGGGCAAAAACGCCACAATAGAATTTGAGGATATTGTAATTAAGTCTGATTCAATGACTTCATTACAACTTCCTTCTGCAGAGAAAGTTGCTATTCCAGCATTGGAAGGAACCTAAAAAAGGGAGATGGACTGACCAAAAAGTGAGTCTAAAAGAGAGTCTGTCAATAACTGAAATATAACACATGTCAGAAAAGTGTTTTAGAGATGCTAATTGTTTAGCGTTCTGCTAACCAGAGCCAAAAAGCTCCCAGCTGCAGATTTAAGTTTGTAGATTTAAGGTTGTATTTTCAAATGCTGCCCCTTTTTTTCTCCTTTTCCAGATTTCTGCCTAGCCCAGCTTTAAGTGAAATGAAATAGAGTTGGGCGGTATCCAAATTTTGTTATCGTTAAACCTTCCCCACATTTTCCCAGGGTATACGGTATTACCGTGACTAATTCAAAATCACTTTTAAGGGCTCAGAGGGAAGAGTCGCCAAAATGTCGGCTTGTGCCTATACCATTCAGAAACAGAATAGCAAACAGCCCACATAGGCCTAAGAATACTGAAAAATAACAACAAAGCATGTACAACATTTACGACTTTTATTAACAAATATTTAAAAAAGTGCAAATGCAGCAGTCAACCAAACAGAATGAAATAACAACAAATTGTCTGTGGGCTACAGTCCACTTCCAAAAAAGTAACAATAAATAATGGAGGTAACGATTATGTGTGCTATACAGCGTATCCTCAGACCGCAGCTGGTACTGTCCCATGGTTTATTTTTAGAACCTATCAACATAAATCAAATAAATTAAAAGCACAGCTCTACAGCATCCAGTACTAGGACTTATCAAATAATAAAAATAGAACAATAAATAACAAGGCATAACCGAAAATGGGCATATTTTATCCTATTCTGAGAAGCAATGGGAAATAGGCTACTGTTCGTTGGTTTATTTTTAGGGCCTACCTTTGGTTTGAAAAGTTCACCCTCTCCAAGTCCGAACTTTTCTGTCAGTCAGAACAGGCTACTCCTCATTGAAAATGACATAAAAACAAAGTATAATAACTATAGCAGCATCCTATGCTTCAAAACTATTCAGGGATTTTCACCAGAAAAAACAGCATATTTACTTTTTCCAGCTGGAGCAGGGCACGTAGTGGATTGACAACATCGGCCGCGGTGCTGAACACCCGCTCTGATGGAGAGCTTGTGGCACAAACGCACAGGTACTTTCAGACTGCCCAGAGTCATCTGTTTTTCGGTGATTCGGGTTGCGCTTCTCCCTCCTCCACTCTGATGGCCACTGGACCTGCTGCTGCTGCTTGCAGAAGTTGTGGTTTTTTGCAACCAATTGGCTTGATGCGCGGCTTGCCATCTTTTCTTCTCTTTCTCACATCCGAGCTGTCTCAAATTTCATCTCCCGACAACAGTTAAGGGCAGTTATAAGAGAAACATTATAGCCTACTATTAGTTTTAAATTGTAATAGTATTAAACTCAACCACACATACATAGATGCTGGACAAACACTCATTATTTAGGCATTAATAAATAAATTGTATTTAATATTATATCAGGCCCCTATAGGCCTATATGGGCAGCAGATTTTTTTTAATGACGGTAATGAAACTGATACCGTTGCTATTGTTAGATACTGCGGGATACCTTATTACCATATTATCGCCCAACCACTAAAATTAGTGTGACACTCAGTATATTGACATGACATAAGAGAAAATGGATTTGTTGTGTTAGTCCTTTTTAAACTGGACTTTCAAAATACATGTAAACATATTAGTCTGATTGAAAGCGTACTTAATCGAATTCTCAAAGTCAGACTAACACACCCAGATAATGCAATTGGGAGTCGAATTACTCCTGCATGTATACAGTCAGTCAGACCCCAAGTGGCCTAGGTGCTCTGCACATGATCCACAGTTTCCACCCTGGACTTTGACCCCAAAGTCGAATGGCATTAAATGAGTAACAGAAGATGAAGCCAATAGCAACATGGTGAAATCTACATTCAGAGCCGCGCATTTTTGGATGGACGAAATTTACAGAGCTATAAAGTTGTCCACGATGGTACCAGTTTGCCGCCACCTTACTATAGCTAACTTGTTTGGTCTGTGACGTAATAGGTCAACCGGAAAAAGGTCCAATACTAACAAGCTGAAAGGGGGCATATTACCACCTATTGTAGTCAGACATACTTTGGTCAATAAATGGATTCCTCTCTTGTGCTTGTATACTGGGACAAGGACAGCACTCCGATTAAATGGCCTAGTCCAGCTCTAATCGTATCTCCACTTAACAGTGCATGTAAATGTACTGAGTGCTCTTTGTAGTAGAAGTCCTATAAATGATTTGGGAATAACAGAACTGTAAGAGAGCATTACGCACGACAGCAGCAGTACTCAGCAGTTATATTGTAGTGGAGCTGGGTCACAGTTCACTTTTATAGAATATAGGCTAGACGTTTGCTGGATTTATACTGAGATGATATGATCATGTTATTGTTTTACAAAGACCAGTATACAGAAGAAATGATTCCAGGCACATTTCACTGAAAAACAAACACAATGAGGGGAGTGTCAAGGTCAAGGTCAAGGTCACATTTATTTCTATAGCACATTTAAAAAGACAGAAGTCACCAAAGTGCTTTACAAGAACATTGTGAAAATTACAATACCACATAAATAGAATGATAAATACCAAAATATAAAAACAGATACAAAATACAAAAAAAACAGAAACAAATATAAAAACAGACAAACAGTTAGAAACAACATCAATTACACAAAAAAAAAAAACAAAAAAAAACAAAACCTGAGACAGAGCATACGTATATTGCACAGAGTCAAGTCTGGCCCACGACAGGTTCAAAAGCTAATGAGAAAAGGTGAGTTTTTAACGATGATTTAAATCTTCCCAGGGATTCTGCATGTCTAACATGCAATGGCAAGCTATTCCAGAGCTTGGGAGCAGCCACTGAAAATACTCAGTCGCCTTTAGTTTTAAGCCTTGATCTGGGCACTTCAAGCAGCAGATCACCTGAAGACCTAAGGGCTCTGACTGGATTGTGAGTTTTTAACAGCTCCGCCAGATACTGAGGGGCCAATCCATGTAAGATTTTAAAAACAAACAACAGAATTTTGAAATGTATTCTAAAATGAACAGGAATTCACAGGACATCAGAACAGGTGTAATATGGTCCCGCTTCTTGGTGCCAGTCAGAAGGCGAGCCGCTGCATTTTGGACTAGCTGCAGGCGAAGAAGGGAGCACTGAACTAAACCAACATAAAGAGAATTACAGTAATCAAGTCTTGATGATATGAAGGCATGAATGACCCTCTCCAAATCCTTGGAAGACAAATAGGGCTTAACTTTAGCTAGCAATCAAAGCTAATGAAAAGAACCTTTCACAACCGTGCCAGTTTGTCTTTTAAGATTTAGATCAGTGTCCAGAGTCACACCAAGGCTTTTGATCGACCCGCTGATATGTGTGGTGAGGGTGTTCAAATTATGAAAAGAGTAAGTAGAACATTCTGCATATCCAAAGACAATAACCTCAGTTTTCGTATCATTCAAATTAAGGTGGCTTTTGCTCATCCAAAGCTTTATGTCAGACAGACAGGCTAATAAGGGATTCAGCGAGTGCTCACAGTTCATTTTTAGAGGAAGATAGATCTGTACATCGTCTGCATAACAATGAAATGATATATTATGCTTATGAAAAATGGACCCAAGAGGAAGCATATACAAAGTAAACAACAACGGTCCCAAAATAGACCTCTGAGGCATCCCACAAGTTAGAGGAGCCATGCTAGAGGAGAATTTACCCAACATTACAGAGAAAGTCCTGTCAGCCAAATA